GAATAGTTCATACTGTAAGCTTTCAAAACTGACACAGGTTACTAATTGCTCATCCTTAATTCCCTTCACTACGGCTGCAGGGAGCACTATGCTTTCTGGCTTTGCCATCACTTGAAAGCTATTTGACCCCTGTGAAATACTACTCCTTCCCAGAGGGTTTTCCAGAAGGTCTAATTTTATCCTCGAGGAAGAGCGCACGATAAAAGCACCATCAGCAATGATCAGCCAGCCTTTTTCATCTGCAAAAACTGCTTGGGTTACTTCAGTGCATGGCAACGATTTCCGTTCGCAAGCAAAATTCTCATCGGTTTCATATTTTGTTCTTTGGAGAAAAAACAAATTAAGTCTGGTATTTTCTCAGGAACTATGGTGACAGAGTGCAACAGGATTAAATGTATTCTGCATGAACATTTACAGTCAGCACAGCAAATAAAGATAAGTGTGATTAAACAGCAACTGCTTAAGTGAAGGAAGAATTTTAGTTTAACTTCACATTAAAGTGATTCGATATAATAAGCAAAAATAAGTGTGGTTTTGAGAGTACCTATCAAATTGAAGCAGAAATTTCAATGTATGCTTTTGAGTCAACAGTCAACACGCAATGCAGAAAGGTCAGCTCTGAGAAGCCTGGCTATATTACTTTTAGGTGGTTTGAACAATATTCAGAGTCAGAAGAAAATCATTTCCACCTGTAGCTTTTCTTTTTCCTTGCTCCTTCCCATTTGCTACTTTTCTCCTTAGAATACAGAAAACAAGGACTGAAGGGAGATAAGAAAGTAGACTCTACTCATACCCCTCAGCTGTAGAAGGCATGAAAAAGTGAGAGGACAACTTGAAGGGTCAAAAAATCTATGAGAACTAACCCCCCTGGGCCTTGGCCAGGCACCTGCTCCCAACTTCTCTGCTGAGGGTCCACCATGTGCTAGAGCAGCTGTGTCCTTCATTAGCCAACCTCCACAGACAGGAATGGCCCTGTCACAAACAGGACTGAGTGACAGTTTCCAGTGCAC